TTTATTTGTCTTTATCAAGTTCTTGTCCTTCACAATATCTTCTCAATGGAAGAATAATCTTTATATATCATATTTTTTCTTATTAGTTAATACTCTTTATTAGTCTTTTCAATTAATATATCCTTCTCTTTAGAGATGTTAGATTCTTTATTTAATTTTATTACTTTATTTTATTTATTTTTAAGAACTCGTCTAAAAATCCATTTTTCTTCTACTTAGATACATTTCTAAGTGCTTATAAGTACTTTTGTACTCAAAAAAATCATCATCAAAACTATAAATGATTTTTGTGCTATTTAAACTTGTTAGTATGTTTACCTTAGTACTTTTATAATATCCAAGAATTTATATTATATACCTTTTGTATTAAGTTTTAATGTCTTATAATTTGATATCTTTACATATGCAATGCCTCTATAAATCTTCATATATATAAAATGCAAAGTAGTTTCTTATTCTAAGCTTATTGTCATGTCATTGATGTAAGAACACTTATTGGATACTTAAATCTTATATAAATAGTATTAAAAATAACTTCACCTCAAAATTCAAAATCAAAATTTTAAACATAAAGCATGCTCTTTTCTATTCCTACAAGAGTATAATTTATTCTTTTAGCAACATTATTTTATTCTAGAGTATATAGAATTACAATTTATCTTGCAATTTCTTTATTCTTTGTATAAATATTAAATTGATTAAATAAATATTTATCTCTATTTTTTGTATATAGTATTTTAATTTTAGCTTCACTTTATTTTTCAACAAGAGTTTTAAATTCCTTAATCCTCCAAAATACTCACTTTTTGATTTATAAATATAAATATATATATTTAAAAAAAAAATCATCAAAGCAAGTGAAAAAATACATGACTTCTTTTAAACTTATAGTCTTTATAAATCTACATACATCAAAATAGTCAATCTCCAACAACTTAGTAGTAAATCACTTAAAAAAAGAAATCCTTCATTATTTATCTTACGTACATTTTTATGTCAAGGAGATGAAGCAGATCACAAAATTTAAAAAATAATATACTTATACATCATTAAAAGAGAGAAAGTAGAAAACTAAAAGTTAGATATAAAATTAAAACTTTAATGGCTATTGCTAAATGCTTAACGGACTAAGAAATCTTGAATTAAGAAAGAATATAAGAAAAATATTGATAAGAATGAGAAAGGCCTTATTCTTGCCTTTATATATACAATATGTTAAAGAACTATGTGGTGATATCTTATATGTCATATGACATGTGTTTAATTAGCAGGACACATATTTAATTTGTAGAATAAGTTTTTGACATATATGGCATTTGGCCAACTTGTAATATAAGTGGCTAAATATGCAACATGTGGCCAACTTATTCATCAAGTTATTAACCTATCAATCACTTATAAAAATGTGTAAAATCCACATAGCTTTTAGCAAGATTTCTAATAAGATATCAATAATTTAACTTATTTTTATTTACATCCATTTAATTCTATATATATAAGTAAATATACTAATTAATATGGCTATTTATTATAGTTAAATTTTGAAACTTCATATATTTTTTTCAATAGGTTATAGATATATTGATATTTATTTATGATTTTTGAAGTTTTTAAATTTTTTTGTTGTTATGAAGAGTAAATCATCTTATTATATTTAATTTTAGGATTTAAAATCTTATTATTTTAAATTTGAATCTGAATTTATTTTTAAATTTTAATTTTCTTACAATTAAATATATTTTGATTTAGATGCTTATTTTATATATAAAAGAGATGTTTTAGAATATTTGTGTTGTGATTTCTTATTAAGTTAGATCTTTAATGGATAAATTTTGTAGTTTGAAGTGTTATAGAAGCTTAAGATTTTTATAAGACCTCATATAGTGCTAAGATGTGATTTGTAAGCATAAAAGTGATTTAAAAGTAATAAATCTTATTTTAGAAGTTTATACTATCCATAGAACTTATGATACATGTTAGAAGTGAAGTGAAGAGTATTTTAAAAGAAAAAAAATTAGTGATTTTTTTTATAAAGAAAGTATTTTAAAATTTTAATATAAGAACATATTTTTTTAAAATTTGAGAGCTTCCCATGGATATACATTTTTATTCCAATTATTATCTAAATAGTATAAGTAAATAAAAAAATATAAAGATATATAAATTTGATAATATCTACTAAAAAAACTTCATAGATGCAACTTTATCTTTATATGTATGTATAGGCAATTAATAGGTTAAAAATTTAGCCAACAAGTTGGCCACTTGTAATATAAGTTGGACATATGGAAAAGAAAATTATCTTATATATTAGATATGTGGTATATAGGTTGGACTTATGTTAGAGGTCATATAGATCAACACTACATAGCTCTTAGTTAGATAGTATATATAGAGACAAAAATGAGATCTTCTTTATCCTTGTTAATTCTCTTCTTGCTTTTAATATAGTTTGAAGAGTCAATAATTTCATAATAATTAGTAATAGTTATTCTCTTTCTATATATATTTAATCATTTTATTTTATTTTATTTTTTAAAAAATGATTTATTTCTTTACTTACATTTTTTAAGTATTGGTCTTTAATAGATTGACAAGAATATAATTACAATATCAAAGCTTTGTTTTTTCTTGATTAAGAGTAGATTACTATTTTTTTTATTTTTTTTTATTTTTATAAGACATAAACATATTAGAAGTTGTAGATCACTTATTTCTAAACTGATATTATTCTTAGACTTCTCTTTTTTTCTAAGTCTTTTATTTTATTTTTCTTAAACGATATGAAATATCTTCTTTTATATTATGTTATTATAAAAAATATTATTAAAATAAAGATTAGAATGGTACAGATTAAAGTTTTGAGGATTCATCAACTAAGTATAATTTGTATTTAAACTTCAATCTCAAAGCTATTCAACTTTATGATTACAAGTAAAGTTTATTAGAACACTACTTTCAGGTTTTACTTTATCATGATTTTTATTTATTTTAAAATAATATAATCTAATATTTAATAATTTGGAGGCTTTTTTAGTAGAGTTTTGATCCATATATGGAGAATATGATGTAATTAATATTACAACCAACAAGATTTATATTTTATGATAAGATAATTAATTAATAATATTATGAGCTTCACAATTTTGATAACTTGCAATCAATATCAAGTAAGATGATGTTACACTCATTAATCAATTTTTCTATAAATTATAACATGATCTAAAAAAATTGATGTTGACCTTAAGTAATCTTCAAACTTTGAATCAAATAATCAATTTTACTATGAAATATGACAATCAACTTTTTGAATTTTAATCTATAAGTTGCATAAGTAAGCTTTAACATTTTTCAATTCAATGGCAATACTAATGTCTTTTCAACACATACATTTAAAAGTCAAAGACATAAAAATTGACACAATATATTTTAAACTTCTTATTAAATAAGAAAAGACTTGTCATTATTAAGAAGGATTGTACTTATATTGCAAAGAACATAAGTACACTATCTAACATTATTCAAAGGAGCGATACAACCATAAAAATAACAAGTATGATTGTCAAAGAAGATAATATGTCAAAAAATAAGTTTGTCTAGCTATAATAGGAATCATGCAATTGAAATCTTGTACTATACATAGTGAAGGCCCTATTTTTTTAATTTTACAATAGATATTTATTTAAGATCTAAACATCACAAAGCTTTTGCCTTACTAGATTGAAAAGCATCAACATGTTAAAAGACATAGAATATTTTTAATAAAGAAAACTAAAATTGTATATGTAGAAGTCATAGATGGTTGTTCATTGTCTCCTAAAAATATTATCTATAAAAGCTTTTCTATAGATGTAATAAAAAATGATCATAATAGCTTTGTGAATTTGAATATAATTATATCTTCTTCTAAACTAATAATTTTAGATTAATTATAGCTAAAAAAGTATAATTCTTAGATAGATTTGATTTCTTTTAGTCTTGACTTTTTTCAAATTATATTTAAGAATTTGATTAATTAAATAGAAAGTTATAAGTTTAGTACAATCAAATCCTTATTTATAAGTGCAAGAGCTTTCATGTATGTTACAAAAAAAGAATTACCTTTTATCATTTATGACACATCTATTTCTAATAGATAAACTATTTCAAATAGTATTTTTAGCTAATAATAAGATTATTAAGATATTTTTAAAAAGCTTAATATTGACTATTAAAATATCTTTTTTTGAAATGCAAATATCCTTCTTAAACATTGTCCTTATGATTATTCAAATGACTTTTAGGAGATAGTCTTCATTTAAACCAATTCATAGTTTATCACAAAATAAATTAGCTAAATTAAAGGAATATATTGATGAGAACTTAGTTATGAATTTTATAATCTATTTAAAATCTCCAATGAGATTTCTTATCTTATTTGAAAAGAAAAAAGATGAATTATTGCGGATGTATGTGAATTATCAAGGATTCAAGAAGATTACCATTAAGAATAGGTATCCTCTATCTTTGATATTTGAACTTCTTCATCAATTAATTAAAGCTAAGATTTATACAAAAATAGATCTATGAGGAATATACAACTTGGTATGTATTAAAGAAAGAAATAAATGGAAGATTGTAATTTAAACATGCATATATGTAAATAGGTGAATATTACCAGGGAAGTTATGATAATAAGCAAGTTCTCATTGGTAGCTATTTTTAGAAAGATAAAACTAAAGTTATGCTTTACAATTGTTATAATAAGTTTAGATTAAGAAGCTTGGTGGACTTGTTGGATATGTGCTTACTAGGCAAGATATGATGGCATCAACAAGAATAGATCCAAGAATGGCCTTATACAACATTGTAGAATCTAAAAAAACTAGTTATTGCGTATGCACCTACTTTTTATTAATCTAATGATTATGGCTAATGAAAATGTTTGTTTACAAACAATAACCACTTTTACAAAAGATAACTTGATAAATAGATAAACAAATTCCCTGAAAAATTCTTGGTGATGGAACTTTGTAGGTGATTGTACGATTGCTAATTTTTTAGTAGACATGCTATTTATTCAAGGAACAAATGTAGGCTGAAACCTCACTTTGATTTTTTGTACAGTTAATCTAACATGTAGGAAACTCCACAAGCCTAACTCAAAATGTGAATCTCCTTAAGCATAGTGGGCGTACTCTGCAACTTCCCAACTGCCCTAATGCAGAGGATTTAAGGTTAGCCCTTCTTTTATGCTTCTCTATCCAGTGGAACTCCATCTACTAAACAAAGGGCTGTCTTGAGTTGTTACCAAGGACATCAAAAACTGTCCGAAAACTGTCGGTTCCACCAAAGATTGTAGGTACATAGATTACACTCTTGGCCTCACTCTTGGTCCGTGCCTTCTAGGCGTCACGATGTGTTCCTCATCAAAGAGTTTGCAGTTACAGCTGGCTCGCCCATTGCTCCACTTGGCTCCACAGGTATAGCAAAACTCATTGCCACATCTGCAGACGAACAACAAAACCAAGTCATAAAGTGCAAACTTTATCTATTTCGAGGATAGCCGTTCAAATCTCCAAGGGAGAGAAGTTGCTTACAAACAAGTCATGTGGTAGCACCCTTCTGCGAGCTCGATAAACCGCTGGCACACTTTGCAAACCTGCCATTTCTGTCTCTGGGCTAGGTCTTTAAGTTTCTCATCTCCATTTTCGAGTACATTTCCCATCTCTGCTCGATACTGAGCACAAGTCATGTCCGCGTGCCATGGAACGTTGCACTTGACACAGAATCCACGGTGGCATGAACCGCATTCTACAAATCTCTCCTTGTAAACAGAGCTGATGCCATTAGAGTTCTCCATCAATGTCGAACAACCACTGAAGGGGCAGTAGACCTTCTGCGACGATGGGATGGCAAATTCCGTTTGTCGCGTATTAAGAATCTCAAGGCTCTGTTTCGAGAGCAGGTCACTGCACTGGTCAATGTCGAACGAGTGCCCGCAATCGGGGAGAGGGCATGGAATCTGAGCCTTTCCGGTCGAGATCTTCATTTCCGCATGCTTCTTGCAACAATCAATGCAATACTCATGTTGGCACCCTGTCAAACAGCACCATACGGAAAATTGTTCTCTCATTACGTCTACAGAGAAACAGATCATACTCTAACGAAGTCCTCTCACTTGTTTACAAATTACTTGAACAAAGGCATACCTCCAGCTCATATGTATCAAACGTGCATTTTGGTTCATGGTGCATGTATCCCCGTGCTTCTGAGACTTACCGGAAGTGCTAATGAATGACGTGTGAGGCCGCAATTCCGTACATATATCACATTCAATTTCAAAGAAGAGTTCGTTGTCAAAAGTAATGTTCGTATTATCACTTTCTGTAATCCGAGACTGGGAACCTTCTTTTTGTTTTAGGTCGAGTTCTGAGGTAGACAAGCACAACGCATCCACATCAGTATCAGCTAGTGGTGCGGGAAGGACTTCTGCACCAAAATAAAGACTCACTTTTCAATTTTCATCTTCATGTTCAAGAAAGACAAAAGCTCAAAGAGAAATCAAGTTCCGAGAACGAGATTTACAGTGTTAAAGGCACCTGAACTGCGTTTTTGTGTTGGGGATCCCACGACAGACCAACTCGTGGACAAAGATGCTTGATTCCAGGAAGACCCTTGGTCATTTCGCGAGGAAGGCTCTGGGGAAGGATCAGCTAATTCAATCAACTGCAAATTATAAGCGATTTCTGCATCAGATATTACACTTCTGACTGAGTCCATCGCCCCAATTATGCTCTGGCCTGCCTCGCTACCTGGAAAGTCCTGAATTCTAAGCTTTGTCCTTGGTTGAGTACTTGTTCTCCTAGAAGTGACGATGCCAAGGAGGGTAGGGGGAAGCACAACTTGAACTCTATGGGAATACTCCTGTCTGTAGACACGAGCAAAAAACGGACAAGACTATATTAGCCAAAGAACCTCAAGTCAACCGACAAGCATTTCACACACGTTGGCGCAGATACAATCAAGAAACTATGCGATCTGATCACAAAAGACTCTGCATTCCGTCGCTAATTACGCCTCCATATCCAAAACAACGCCTTCTCCAAGACTGCATCAAACCAAAAAAACTACACTACCGAGAATTACAGACGCGGGCGCTCCAGCTTCAAGCAGCCCAAGAGGCGGCTTCCTCAATGCACAAAGGCATTGATCCCACCACCACCCGATGATCCCACACCCCAAATGACGCAGTCCTTTCACAGTGTCGCAGCCCAACCAAAGCGCAAAAAGACTAGCCCATCTTGTCAGAGGGGATGGCTACAGTAGCAAAGGTCAATTCCAGCATCTAAACCAATTGAAAAATGATGGATTTCCAAGTACAAGTGCATGAGAATCCGAGGAGGAAAGTCAAATTATACGGCAGTGGGTGGTCTGCGTCGCAAACATTTCATGTCATTCGTCAACGTATTGCTGCTCTTGAACTATTAAATCGGTAAAGAGGGCTTCTCTTGCTTTGGCCACACGTTTTTGCAAATACAGACCTGAACTGGCGTGGCACAGATTGCAGGTTTATGTATCGAATTTTTGTAGGACCCAGTTTATGTCTGTACATACAAAAACGAGAATAAAAACCTCGTGTCGGTTAGAATGTTGACTCCCAATTGTTTATCCATGTTCATTTGTTTCTTTTGATATATATATCTATACTGAGGATGTGTACAAGTATTCTTTTTGTTGCATTTCCCCTATGTTTATCTACCATGTTAAACGTGTATTCACCTAAAAGTTTATGTATGCTTTTGATGATTTTCACCTGTGAAATTTCATCAAGTATTCAAATAAAAAAGTGAAATTCCATTCAAATACTTGAGTATCTGCAAAATTTCATCAAGTATTTAAATAAAAAAGTGAAATAACGTTTATCAAAAAGCTGATTTGTAAATCTTAAAGTTCTTTAGTATTTTTAAGAAGATGAACAGTAATCATTACAATAACAAACCGAGTTTTGAAAGTAACAGCAATTGTATTGTTAATTTGCCAAAATGAATATGAAATGGTCTGAATACTGGTCCCAATTCTAAAATTGCTAATGAATGTTAGAACATTGAAAATCATCTCCAAAGATCAACAGACAATTTCCTTATTACTTAGCATTTTCAACATTGTTCTTAAGTTATCTAATCCACAAATGTACCAATGGAAGATAATTAAATAAATTATGTTGCATCACTAACAACATTAGTTAAAATTATTATTTTTATTGATATTTGAAAACTTCAACATTTCAATCAATTTACAAAAATATTTGTCAAAGTCCAAATTCAAACTTATTTCAATCCAATGACTCTGTGTAATCAACTCATTTTTTATTACAAATTATTAAATAAAAATAAATAAATAAATAAATAAAAGTTCTTTTTTGTATATATATTTTATAATCTGACATGGCATGTTTGAACCTTATGGAATAAAATATCTGCAAATGTTTTCTTCTTTGAGACACCTCACTATATCAATTGATATAATACCTTGTTAGGATTTCAATTTCCATTTTTTTTTTATATGATATGATTATTAGTTTGATCAATTAATATTTTGAACAAAAATAGTCATGTTCACTTAAATAATTTGTTAATACAAATGTTCATGTTGTGAAGGTTAAGAGTCTAAAAATGCCTCATTTCTTTGAATATTTCAAAGCACAATATTTTTATAAAGTATATATTTTCCCATTTCAGAATACAATGATTTTATAAATTTTTTAATAAGAGCTTCAAAGTACAAAGCAATCAACAACATTGGCTAAGCATATGAAAATAAATAAAAATTTAATATGTAATGATCAATGGGATATTTTATTTATTTAATTACTTATCATTAAAAATTTTAAAAATAAAAATCTACAATTTTTTTCAAAAGATAATACAATTCAAACTATTTATATTATAAGAAAGCTTAGGTATAAGACAAATAAATAAAGAAGCTTTTTCATTAGCAAAAATCATTGCTTTAACTACAAACAAAAAAATCCAATATAATTGTCAATTTTTTAATGTCCAATGGCTTAAGTTTTTATTATATAGATATATATATATATATATATGTATATGTATATGTGTGTGTGTGTATATATATATATATATATATATGTGTGTGTGTATATAAATATATATATATATATATATATATATATATATATATATATTTTGTAAGCTCTTAATCATTAGCTAAGATATATTTCTTACATAAAACATATCTTTTTGTCAAAGACATAAATTTCAAAGAAAGAAAATCTCAATACATTCTTATGTCATTCAAAAAGATTAAAAAATCACTCAAAGATGGTAATATATTAAACTAAATTGACTATTGCCAAAGATAAGTAGACTAAAAAGTCTTAAAATAAGACTAAAGACTAGAAAAGCATTGACAAGAGTGAAGAAGGCTTCACTCTTGCCTCCATATATTCTATCTAATTAAAAGCTATGTTGTAATGTTCTATAGGACCTCTGATATATGTTAAATTTGTAAGACATGTGTCTTAACTTGCAAGGCAAGTTTTTTATATGTGTGCCACATTGTTAGCGTGTACCACAAGCTATCCACATGTGTAATACATAGTTAACTTGTTGGCCAAGTTTCTAAGCTACTAATCAACTATAAATATGTATAAAGTCAAATATGCATCTATGAAGCTTCTAAAAAGCTTTGCCTTAAGAAATCCTAAACTCTAAATCCTAAATCTTTAAATCCTAAATCTTGGTTTTGATAGATGTTGTCAATGAAAGGCATTAACTTTTTTTGCTTTATTTATAAGATCCTTAATTGGCTCTCATGGACATTCATTAATATTATATTCATGCTTGTGAACAAGATCTTTTAACATATTTCAGTGCTACCTTAAAGACTTCTTCCACTTTGAATTCTTAATTATTATCCACTTCTATAAGAGGAAGTAATAATTATCTTCTTCTCAAGATATTCACTATCTTATATGGCTTAAAAAGAGATATATAGAATATGAAATGGATCTTTATAGACTTTGATAGATGTAGTTGATAAGCAATTAGATTGATTTATTCAAAAATATAAAATGGTCCAAGCCTACAATTATTCCACTGCTCATAAAGGAAAGTAGTCTTGATATTGCAATAAAATAACTATTATTTCTTTTCAGCATGGAATTGAAGTTACTTCTTACTACAAGTATCTGCATGGTCTTTTGTTATTCTTAAATTTTTTTTAGTTGTACCTTCATTATTGTATGTAGCTTAGATAAACAATTTGTCAAATCTTCCACTACATGATTATCAACTTTTGAAAAGTCAAAAGCATCAAGTCATAGATAATAACTATAATTAATAAAAAAAGATATTTATTGTATAAAAAAATATATTATATTATTATAAGCAAACTCTACAAATGATAAAAAAAAATTTACAATTATCTTATTGATAGTTGATGATATATGTCAAATATTGCTCTAAAATTTCATTTATATCCTTCATTTATCTATTGATTTGAAGATGAAAAGTTGAAAATAGGCTTATATCTATATTTAAAATCTTAAAAATGATTTTTTAAAATTTTGATACTAATTGAGTCTTATTATCTAATATAATATCTTTGGCAATCCATAATAATAATAATAATAATAATAATAATAGATATTATCAAGAATAAACTTAGTTGTTTTTTCACCAATGATAGATTTTGTACATGATACAAAATATACAAGCTTAGTAAAATGATCTACTATCATAAATATAGAATCATATAAACTTGAGATTAGAAGATCCATAATAAAGTCCATAGAAATAAAAAAAACTATAATTATTCTAAAATAGATAATAGCTAAAGAAGTCCATAAGATCAATGATAAGGAATTTTTGATCTTGAACAAATGTCACATAATTGTACAAAGTCTTTGATTGCCTTCCATATTTAAGGTTATCAAAAATCTTTCAATATTAGCTCCAAAGTATTGTTGTATCTAAAATATCCAATTCTTAGATTGTTATAAGCTAGAAGAATACATAATCATGTTTTATTTTTTGGAATATATTATTTTTTTAAAAAATAGAATAGATTATTTTTAAACTTAAAATTAGAAATCTTATAAATTTTAAAAGAATTATTTTTAATATTATGAATAAAAGGATTAAAAGATATATTTGATTGAACTTACTTAAAAAGATTGAATCAATAATTAATGCTGATTTCATTTCTCGGAGGTAAAAAATGCTTTGACTCTAATAAAATTATTCTTTATTGATTAAAAATTATATCTTTTTTTGGATATAAGATAAAAATATCTAAAAATGGTATTTAATAAATCTTATTATTTTTTATTTAAATAAGTGAACTTGAAAGCTAATCTTGATAAAGAAATGCTTCAATGGACTTGAAAATAATTTAAAACAAGTACCAACATGAAGTACTTAAGGTTTTTGTAATCCATATATACTTTAACTGGATTAAAAGCATCTTCTAGATAATGATGCCATTCTTGAAATAATTTATAATTCTAAAAAGTTCTTTGTTGTGAATCTTGTAGTTAATCTCAATTATCAAAAAAAATTTAGAATGAAAAACTATGAAGTATAATTTATCATCTAATTTTATTTGTGATAATATTGTATCTATAGCAAAGTTTGATGCATTTTTTTTCATAAAAAAATGCCTTAAAAAAGTCAATGCAATACAATATTGGTATATAAATAAAGGTTGTCTTTAAAGCTTCAAAAGATGTTATAGCTTCTTTGCTCAATTCAAGTTTGTCTTTACATGCCATATGTATAAGAAGAGTTGCAACTTAACAAAAATTCTTAATGAATATTGAAGAATAATTAACAAATCCTAAAAAATATTGCACATCTCTAATTATTTTTAAAATCTTTCAATTTATGATAGTCTGAATTTTCTTAAGATCTATTATAAGGCCATTATTTGAAGTGATATATCCTAAAAAGTCAATTTGAGTAATTTAAAATATATACTTTTCTATCTTATTATATACTCTTATATTTTTAAATTTTTGTAATATGCGACATGAATAATTAACAAATTTCAAATTAATCCTTCTTTTGTAGCATATATGAAATCTCTTATATCTATTAATAAGAATTTGGATATATTTGACTTGTGGATTTCTATTCAACTAGCAAGTTTTTGGACTAAACTAAAGAAAAAATTAATGTTATAAGGAGTCCAGTCGATTTGAGAGCTGTACTTCTTTAGTTACAATAATTTTAAAATAATTAAGTTGGATGGAAATCTAATAATATTGAATATTATTAAATTATTATGATCTTTAATTGCTATAACTCAAGGAATTGTTTCATAGATAAAATCTCTAAAAGTCAATAAACAACCATCTATGATTTTGA